AGATAAAAAGAAAGAAAGATAATAGAAAGCTAGACAGTTAGATAGATAGATAGATAGATAGATAGATAGATAGATCATAGATAGATAGATAGATAGATAGATACTATTAGTGTACCTGGCAATGCATGAACTTATTTTAGTGTATATGATGATAGATATATGACAAATATGTCTTAATATTCTGATGCTACCTAAATGGATGCACAGCCTTAAAATAAAACTGTACTAAATACCGCCACAAGTAACATTTAATAGGGTCAGCTACCGTATTGCTGCATATATGTACGTATAAAATTAAATGGCAAGATTGAACATTGATGAAAATACATTTCTTTGTTTTCATCACTTTTAAATTATTCAAATAATGTATGCGTATGGTAAGCCCTCTATACACTATTTTATATATTGCGTAACATATATGAACTAAAAAGTACTACATGACTTGTAAAGGTATCACCCACCATCTGAACATAATATTTTAGATAAATATTTAATACTTCTGCACCATTTTGTTGTATCTTTTATAAGGTAAAACAATCATGAGCAATTATTTCTTTTTGTGCGTTCTATATACAGCCATATATACACCATGTGTGTAGTGTAAGTGTAATGGAATGCAACAAAATGAACGTTAAGTAAAGTTAAATGCAGATGGCCAAGTAATTCGCTGATTTTTTTTTTAGTAGTAAATCATGCATATACTGAATATATATATATATATATATTTAGATAGATAAATATGTATAGATATGTACACTTTGGTGCATGCATATAATACCCATTTTGTAGTAGCGGCATTATGTTATTATTTCCATTCTGCATTCTTCTACTCTTAAAGGTAAATAGCAGGAGTGTATAGGTAAATGTATATCGCATTGCTACAACAAGGCACAGTATGTCACAGAAGTGCGAAACGTTCACTTGCTGATATGATGCTGTGTGTAGAATTATCTATTTGCACAAAAGATATAGCCTAAAGATGTACAATCTGCCAGATAATACAGTTGGGAATAGAAGTGTAGACAGCAAATGGGTGAGTTTGTGAAAGTGAAAGGAGCGACAGACAACACACATAAAAGTACTGTGCATGCAAGGAGTAGTTAAAGTCTGGTGAGAGATAAAGAATCACAAAATACTGAGTCAAAAAATGATTCTCGTAGTTTGTAATGATTGCCAGTGCAGTGGAATGCTAAAATAATCAACAGATAAAAATGTTTATACTGCAAAGAATAAAAATCTGGAGAGACACAATGTAAGTAAGAAACAAACAAAAAAAAGCTAAATGAATATATATTAAAACTATAATAAAAAGTATAAAGAGCAATCTTTGCATAGTGATAGTAAACAGCGTAGAATGTGAGAAAATTAGAGGTTATGCAGAAACTTTGAGGAGCGGAACAAGCGAATAAACTTTTCGAAAGTAAAAAGTAAGTTTAAAAAGAAGGAGCAGAGATTTAAAAAAATTAATAAAAAAATAGAAGGGGGGAAGTGCTTTATAACGTGAAGGAAAGAGACAGAGAGAGAGAGAGACATCTGTAGACCGTCAAACAAAGGAAGGGGGAAAAAAAAAAAAAAAGGTGAAGAGATACTATCAGAAAAAGTCTGTTAATGGCTCGTAGGATAGATTCATTAAAGTAAAAAGATGTCGAGAAAAACACTGTAGGAAGTAAAAATAAAAAATAAACAAAAAGAGGGTAAAGGTAGTTTTTATTGGCATACAAAAGAGCAAAGGTAAAATGTAAGCGTAAATAGAAATGTTTGTTCAACGCATTAAAATAAGTATAAAAGAAAAGCAGAAAATGACGGAAAAGTCCGAACGGGAGGGAAAAAAAAAGCCACCAACACTTATTAGCTTAAACGCCATATTGATAAAGCAAAATATTGCTGACAATTAAAACAAATGCAATTCAAAAATAAATAAATGCTGGAAAATGTAGGTAGTTTATATTCTATTAAGACTTTTAAGAGATAAAAAAAGATCATTATTTGTCTAAAATATATGTAAAGCACCTATAAAAAGACGGAGATTAGGATAAAACAAAAATTAAAATATGAAATTAATAAAGGTGAGGTTAAAGAGGGAGAAAAAACAGGTAGCTGTAATACAGAAAAGAGAACGACGTGAGAAATTAAAAAATAAGTTTCTATTCTTAAAAGCTGTAAAGAAAAAAAACCTGAAAAGGATCGAAGGTCGTTGCGGACAAACAGGTCGGCAGGCTCCTGCGCCCGCAAGGGGTTAAAATCCTTAGTGTGGGATAGTAGGAAGAGAGAGTGTACGGAGAAAATGAAAAAAAGCTGGGAAAACAGGAGAGAGAGAAATTTACTCTGAAAAGCAGCGTCTTTAAAATGTGTGACTTGGCTGGGATACATTGGGCAGTGCCAGCAAAACCGCAGAGAACGAGGGAGCGAGACAGGAGCGACGGAGTGAAGGAGCAGAGGGAGGAAAAAAAAAAAAGGGAAAGAGATATTTCAGATTTAATTTCGCTATTAATAGAGGGCGGTTTTCTGTTAAGTTTTCGGATGAGGAATAGCAAGGTATCTCGGCAATCACGGTGCCTGAATTTTTGACACAAAAATAAAAAATAAGATAAAATAAATAAAGGGAAAAACAAACACGCATCTGCTTCATCTCTCCTACCCCTCTACATATACGCGCGCGCGAGCGCGCACACACACACACACCCCATCCTCATCCATGAGCGACTGTTTTAATTCTTGTGCCAAAAACTGCGTGGCAAAATAAATCAAAATTAAAAATGAAACCAAAATAAATAATAGCAGAGATAACAGGACAGAAGAGAAAGTCAACAACCAATAACTCTCCAGCTCATCGGCTGAAAGAAAGTAAAGCGTCAAACTTTCGCGTATGCAATTTTTTTTTTTAAGTTGTCAGTTTTGGCAAAACCTTTTTTTTTCTGCCTTCAATATTTTTTTCACGCTCTCTCCCTCTCTTTAGCTCTACACCTCCCTCCTCCCTTCCCTCTCTCTCTCTCTCTCTTTCTCTCTCTCGCTCTCCCCTCCCTTTTTCTCTGCTATTGGCCAGCTTCTTCATTTCACTTTGCCAAAAAGGTGGGCCTGTTCGAATCAGTCTCTCTCTCTCTTTTTTTTTTCCTCTCTCTTTTCCCTGGCATCGATGCTGGCCACCAATTCAGCACGGAGAGTGAAAGCAGGAGAGAGGGGGAACGAGAGAGAGAGAGAAAGAGAAAGAGAGAGAGTTTAAGCGGATAGGGAAAAAAAAAAAAACAACCTTCGCTTTTGCTCCAAATCTCCTTCTCGACAAAAAAAAAAATACTTTTTCTGTTTACCCATCCATTTTTTTTTATTCCCCTCCTTTCATTTTGCTTTTGTCGGTTTCGATAATCCATCTGTAGTGTTCTAATGCACATCGAGAAATTTTATTTTTTATTTTTTCTGCCACGTTCCGTCCGTTTTGCGGACGGCAATTAAGTTCCCTCCGTGGTTTTTTTTGTTCCAGCACTTGGAATTACGTGTTTATTCTTTCGGGGGCCTTTGCCCATTTAATAACTTTCTGAGCTATTGCCATCCTCTTCTGTCTTCATTTTTTTTTATAGTTGTGTCCCTTTCTGCGTCCATACGTTAAAGAAAAGGACTTCCTGGGCTCTGTGTATGAATACGCGTAGATCTGTCTGCCGTTGTATTCTGCCTACCTCATCCCTTCCATACTTACATTTCTCTATTTATCAATCCGCTTTGTGTCCTCCCTTACTCACTCTCTCTCTCATTGTAATTCCGATGAGCTCCGAATTGGCATGCTTTTAAATACCGGCAGGACTTCGATATGACACCAAGAGATGGTAAATCTTTCACACATATTCATGCCATGTCGTCAAAACGATTCATAATTACAACTTCAAGTTTTTTTCCCACTACCGTAAAAAACAAACAAAAAACAAATATATTTTCCTAATATTGTGACATTTAAATAATTTGCATACCAAAACTTAAAACAGGAACTTAATAAGGACAAATGATCATTTAATTTTGTATTCAAAAATAACTTTTCTTGGATTGTCAGCTTTATTTTTTTCTGTATTTTCTTTTTTTTTTCTTTTAGGATGAATTTCACCCCTTCATCGAAGCTCTTCTTCCCCATGTGCGTGCATTCTCATACACATGGTTCAATCTCCAAGCAAGGAAGCGCAAGTACTTTAAGAAGCACGAGAAGCGGATGTCGAAGGACGAAGAGAGGGCGGTGAAGGACGAGTTATTAGGGGAGAAGCCTGAGATCAAGCAGAAGTGGGCGTCACGGCTCTTGGCCAAGCTGAGGAAAGATATCCGGCCAGAGTTCCGAGAGGACTTTGTCCTGACCATCACCGGGAAGAAACCTCCGTGTTGTGTCCTCTCTAACCCAGATCAGAAAGGCAAAATTCGGAGGATTGACTGCCTCCGCCAGGCAGATAAGGTGTGGAGGTTGGACCTGGTGATGGTCATCCTGTTTAAGGGGATTCCGCTGGAGAGCACAGATGGGGAACGTCTCTATAAGTCGCCCCAATGCTCCAACCCAGGGCTGTGCGTACAGCCTCACCACATTGGGGTGTCCATCAAAGAGCTGGACCTCTACCTGGCCTTTTTCGTCCACACGCCTGGTAAGTCTTGGCCTTGCATCACTGTCTACCCACTGTTTTTGAGTTCAAGACCTTTATCACTGCATTTGGCAAAGCCAAGTTGACATTGCTCCAGTTCATGAATATCTATCTAAGATATTAGAAACAAAAGCTGAGGAAACATATTGTTATATATTTGTATAAACAAGTATGGATTTATATGATACAATATGTTCTTATTACCCCAAATTACCTATAGCCAAATAATACAGTGGCCTACATCTGTATATGGAGAACGACGTACATCCTGTTAGGCTTTTGGGGCCTAGACTTCACTGAGCACTGTCAAGTCTGCTTTGCCTTTTATCACACAGAGGTTTTTAAGGGAAAAAACAAAAATACTAAATCCTTCTTATTGGAAAATCAACTGTTTTTTTTATATATTTTCAGACTAATATATGTGCTTCTGTATTTTGTAGGTAGGTAGTTATTAATCGCTAGATGTTCACTGCTTTTTGTGGAAGCCAATTTTTTTTTCTTTTAATTTATCCCTAAAAATAATCCTCGGTAAATATAAATATATACAGGGTTATTCACTATAGGGTGAAGGGTTTGGAGAAGGCAGGAGAAGGGAACAATTTAGGACAACATAGCTGATTTGGAAAAATTCTACAATTCAGCTCACTTTTCAGTTCAGCTATGTTGTCCAAGATCGTTCCCTTCTACGGCCTTCTCCAAATTCTTCACCCTTTTGTGAATAGCCCTGATACAGTTTGGGAGGTAGCAAGGGAAACATGCTGGCATGAGAAATATCGCCACGTCTAGACACAAAAATGATGTGTTCAGTTTCAGTTTGGATGTAGGAGATATGTTATTGGATACAGAAGATCTGTACATTTATAGAAACGTAATAATAGAAACAGTGATTGAAATTCTTTTAATTAGGATTAAATAGTTCCAGTAAGGGAAACCACAAAGAAGGTATGCTGGGTTCAATTAGAAGAGACACTAATCATAATAGTAATAATAATAATAATGCTTTTTCTTGTTATAAAAAACAATAAGAAATGATACATGTGTATATTTTTGTTTATATTCATCTACAGCTGGATTGCAATGACGGGATTTTTGTTTTATAAAAAAAAAAACTATAAATGCAGTTTACAGAAATGCACTTTTACAGTGTGTCTATGAAGCCCAGTACATGTAGAATGTTTTTACTGCTTGTTTTGTAGTTTTCTCTGGTAACTGAAATGCTTATCAACCAGCTTAGCTTAAACTCCCGTACAACTTTTTCCAGACATACTTTGGCACTGATGGAATGCACACATAGCAAGAAGGAACAATTCATCCAGATGACAAATTTAGGCATAAAACTGATTTTTTATATGAGTACAAACTGTGTCTCTCTCTCTATCATCCATCTATCTATCTATCTATCTATCTATCTATCTATCTATCTATCTATCTATCTATCTATCTATCTATCTATCTATCTCTCTTATTATTATATTATTATATATGGCTTGTTGATCGAATACTAATAACTCAAAATGCTGTCTATAGCTTACACATATATAGTGACTTAGTAGAACGTACAGGAGTATGAAGCTTGAAGTTGAGGAGTTTTCTTATTTTCAGGAGGAAGTCATGAATGCCCCAATCCTATCATAACTGTCAGGGCTGCAGAGCTCACACTCTAATGTGAACAAATGACCCGAGGTGACTATCAGGTAGCGTTCTCTAGCAGGCATCGCCATTAATATGTAGGAGACAGATAAACAGCCGAAGCTGGAAGCGTTCATAACTCATGCTCTCCCACAGAGCTTACGCTCTAATAAACAAAGAGACACCTATAAAAGTGGAAGATCTTATGTGTGTGTGATTTGTATTGATTACGGCATGCAGTGGGGGTGGGTAGGCAAGAGATATCATAGGGAAAAATGAGCGTCCGGGAAGTTTTCTACTTGCGCTAATCAGGAAAAAAAAAAAAACAGACCAGAATAAAGAAAGGCTTTATAGCGAGTGACTGTGTTAAAAGATCAGTGGACAACAAAGCCTGTGCTGATTTTGGCCTGGGAACCAATGAATCCTGTGGTGACAGCACAAATGTGTGTTCTGGTTGGAAGTGCGAGGAAGGTCAGAGCCCATATGGAGGAGGACCCGACCTATGACCCGCCACATATGACACGCCATTCACAATTATTTTCTGCGCTGATGAAATGTTCACCTGAAGTGTAAAGATAATAAGCCTGTGTCTGCGAGCCCAGCAACAAATTTCTGACAAATAGGATATTACAAAAATCCTGAGTAAGGGGATGATGGAGTTATATGGTTGGGGGGGGGGGTAAACCTGCTGCAGGCTTGATGGGGATCAGGGAACATTGAGGTCAAACATGCATCTAGACAGGCTTCTGGTACCCCCATTACAAAGATATGGGGCACGTTATGTGTGTTCACCATGACATAGCTTTGTAACATTGTTGTCACCATTGCATCTGGGCCCAGGATCATGAAAGGAGGAACTATAATAATAACAAGTCTAATGCAATCCAAGTATTATTCATTCACCTTTTTTCAAATTATCATTATAGCATCAGCTGATGTAAAATTCAGGGTCCACTCACACCTACTTACACATTTAAAAAGGCACGGTGACGTACCATTCTTCTGGACATATCTGTAAAAAATGAATCAAGGCAACTGGACTTGCTGTATTTTTCTTGAAGACGATTCGCTTGTCATCCATCCAATTCTGATTTGAGAAAGCTGGTCAGATGACAAGCGAAGCGCCTTCAAGAAAAATACAACATGTCCGGTTTACTTGATTTATTTCTTACAGATATACCATGACCTGGATGAATGAGAACCTTCACAGACATTCTTCTGGATGGAACTGTTCTCATCTTTACGCTTTAGTGCGGTACGGTTCGTTACAATGAAAAAGCGCATAAATGAGTGGTACTGGTAACACATACAAGCTGCATGTGCAACCGCATAAATGCATGTCAAGGGAGTCTTACAAAAGTTTTGTAACACAAGCAATAAAAAAGAAAAGTCTGCCCACTTCCTGTTTCCTTTACAAATGCAACATATGTTAAATGTATCAAAAATGCATATAAATTGTACATTCAAATGTGTGTTAAGATGAATATATTTTCCAAAAGAGAGGTGTGAATGGACCCTTAAAGTATAATTATACAAAATGTTACTACCCGTATTTGTGTAAGGCCAATGACTTACATTACATACCCTATAGGATCATTCACATCATTCCTTGCCCCATGGCGGAGCTTACGGTCTAATAATAACAATAATGAGAGCAGCTTCCTTCACTAAACATTCAGCATGCATATAGGCAAGGACCAAATATCCATGTTGGGGTTCTCAGCTTTGGAAGCAAGTACCAAGGACAGACTCCATGTCACATAGCTCCTCCTGTCTGTGTCACCCTGTGGTGGTGGAAGGGACAGACTCCATGTCACATTGCTCCTCCTGTCTGTGTCGCCCTGGGGTGGGAGGGACAGACTCCATGTCACATAGCTCCCCCTGTCTGTGTCACCCTGTGGTGGAGGGGACAGACTCCATGTCACATAGCTCCCCCTGTCTGTGTCACCCTGTGGTGGGGGGGCAGACTCCATATCACATAGCTCCCCCTGTCTGTGTCGCCCTGGGGTGGGAGTGACAGACTTCATGTCACATAGCTCTCCCCTGTCTGTGTCACCCTGTAGTGGGGGTATAGACTCCATGTCACATAGCTCCTCCTGTCTTTGTCCCCCTGTGGTGGGAGGGACAGACTCAATGTCACATAGCTCCCCCTGTCTGTGTCACCCTGTGGTAGGAGGGACAGACCATATGTCACATAGCTCCTCCTGTCTGTGTCACCCTGTGGTGGGGGGACAGACTCCATGTCTCCATAGCTCTGTATCAACGTCACTCTTTGGAATATGGGAAGTTGCCACATTAATACCAGCTGCAGTAAATGTTTTTATCTATGATAAATTAATTCCTGTCCTGAATCTGAACAGCTGAAGTTGATGGGTCAATATTACTTATTTTAAAGCATTCAACGTGTCCTGCGCTGTTAACCTGTCAGACACGAGACAGAAAAATAATCCACCTACTAATACAGCATATGAAAAGAGTAGTAAAGGGTAACATTTCTCATTGCCTATCGCAGCCATTCAGCTTTAAAGATATATTTTTTAAACCTGGACTGTGATATAGTAGCTCATACATGGGGCCTGGAAAGCCAACAAAGCCTTTTTTTGTGAATTACATTTTAGGGAATTTCTATTTTAGAGTAAATGTAGAGTGATGACACTTAATTTTGGATTTTTTCAGCTGATTAACTGAAAGTAACTTATTCCTTTTTTTATGCATACAATATACAGTATATACCCCTTAGTTACTGAATATTAAGGTTTGTACAAAAAAAGAATGACTATAAAGGTCAAGTTCTGCGCCTGATCCAATTTTTTGGCTTTCAGTTGGATGCAGGAGGCTCCTTCATATGCACTGACCCAGTTCCTGCTATCCACCAACTCTTTAAACTTAGATGTAAGAAGTGGCGCAAAGGGGAACCAACCTATCCTCTATCTCTTGCTGACATGACATCTGCTTCTCGCTACTTGACATGGCGTAGCAGCAAGGTGAAACATGCAGTTGCTGAAGTGTGAAATATATGCCCCATCCTGTATAACGACATACATGTTAAATACACTAGTATGCTGGCAGGATGCAGCCTGCGTAAATCTTGGCCTATACGCTGCAATTTTCTAAATTTTCCTTTGGCATGGAAACAACATGGAGACACATTTTTCATCTTTTTTTTCTACATTCAGCAACCAAACCTCGTTTGCACTATGGCACTCGTAATTGATTTTGATCAATAGTCATTCGCATGAGACCAGGAAATTGGTTGAAACATGGATTGTTGTTTTTTTCTAGACCATTCTTTTCCATGTTTGTCGAGAGAGTTGATTGAAGTATGATGTATGTATGTTGATGTATGAAAAGATCAAAACACAATATCTGGATGAATGG